CAGACTCCACCCTCCGAGTCTACTCCCTCCGTCAGAGCAAAGCAGAGGCTTTTACGTGTCCTTGTGCAGGGGGCTGCCTGGGAGTAGGGAGCAGGGTCGGACCCCAGACATCCTGACACTCAGCACAGTCCCAGGGAAAGCTACCCATCACCTTGCCTGGGGCAACATCCTCACCTAAAAGATGACCTGCATCCATACTTCTTTGGCTTCCTCGGGTAGCAGACGTTGGAGTCTTCACTTCTGATTCATGGCGGATCAATACTTTCATTTTTTTTTCTCACGGTGCTGGGGATCGAACTCTGGGCTTTGTGCATGCTAGGTGAGGGTTTTTCCGCTGAGCTTTTTCTCACGGTGCTGGGGATCGAACTCTGGGCTTTGTGCATGCTAGGTGAGGGTTTTTCCGCTGAGCTATGTCCTCACCTGAATTGTTGTTGCTGGCACGTAATTCAGGGACTGGGAATGTAGCAGAGTTGGTGACATGTTTCCTTGGCATGCAGAAGAGCTAGATTCTATTCCTAGAGGTTTATAAACCAGGTGCCAGTGTCTCAGCACACCGGAGGTGAAGGCAGGAAGATCGGGAGTTCAAGGTCATTCATCCTTGGATACATAGCTGCAAGACACTAAAAAAAAAAAAAAAAAAAAGACAAAATTCAGGCTAGAGATGTTGCTCAGTGGCTCCATGTCTAGATCGGGTATGGCCCTAAGTTTCATCCCCAACACTACAAAAATCATAGACGCATAAATTTCATATGCCATGAAGTCTTCCTCCCTTTTCTTTCTTTCTTTTCTTTTTCTCTTTTCCTGAGATGAGGTCTTGCTATGGAGCCCAGGCTGACCTTGAACTCAAAGCCTTCCTACCTCCATCTCCCTAGGGCCAAGACTCCATACATGTACGCCACTGCCCTTGGCAAACACACCAGCGAACTTAAGATGTGCAGCCCTGTGGACTAGTGTATACTCGTAAGGCTGGGGACCATCACAGTTCATTTCAAAACATTGCATCGATTCAGAAATAAGCTCTACATATTCCCCCAACCCATGACAAGCATGACCGGCTTCCTCGGGTTTGCCCATCCTGGGTATGTCCTGGAAGTGGGGTCAGACAACATGTGGTATCTCCTACTCACTCTCCAGTTTCCTGTACATTGCAGCAAGAATTGGAACCCCATCCTTTTGGCGGTTAAATAATACTCTATGTGACTATATCACATTTAGTCATTTCTCACTTAGTGAACCTTTTAGTTTGTGTCTGCTTTTTGGTTCAGTTTGGTTGGGTTTGGGTTTTGTTATATTGACTTTTTTTTTTTGAGAGGATCTTGCTCTCTTCCCTAGGCTGGCCAGCAAGCCTCCTGCCTCAGTCTCCCAGACATGAGCCATTAGGCCTAGCCTTATTTCTGCTTATTTTAAACATTTTTAAAATGTACTTATTTTTATTTTTGTGTATGGGCTTTTCAACTTGCAGGTGTGTCTGAGCATCACACGCATACAATGCCCATTGAGGCCAGAAGAGGGCACCAGATCCTCTGGAACTAGAGTTGCAGATTGTTATGAGCAGCCCTGTGGGTGCTTGGAATGGAACCCTGATCCTCTAGAAGAGCAGCCAGTGTTCTTAACTGCTGACCCATCTCTGATCTCCCCACCCTCTAATTTGAGACAAGGTCCTATGTAGCCCAGCTGTGTGGCGGCAGGTTGTGGGAAGGAACTCTACATTCAATTTTTTTCATAAACATATGTCCCAAAGCTGTACTGTGAAAACTTTCATAAGAATAAATTGCTAAAGAAAAAATGGAGGGCTGGAGAGATGGCTCAGCGGTTAAGAGCACTGACTGTTCTTCCAGAGGTCCTGAGTTCAATTCCCGGCAACCACATGGTGGCTCACAACCACCTTGAATGAGATCTGGTGCCCTCTGCTGGCCTGCAGGCAGAAGGCTGTATACACAATAAATAAAATATATTTTTTAAAAAAAGAAAGAAAAAATGGAATTGAAGCCACACGTGGCGGCTTACACCTGCAATCCCAGCACGTAGGAGGCTGAGACAGGAAAATTGTTAGTTCAGAAGCCAGCCTGAGCTCCATTGTGAACCACTGTCTCAAGAGCGTGTAAACACAGCCTGCTTTTCCTCCTTGTTAAATGACCAGGCCCAGAGTCACTTTGTGAAGTTATATGAATCGCTGAACGCGTCCCCTCTCTGTTCAGTCTGCAGATGGTGAGCAGTATTCAGCCTGGCACCAGCTCTGGACCACACGGAGCAGCCTGGACCATCCGTGTCTACATCACCGTCACCTCTAGAACAGAGCACAGCCCCTGAGTGTGGTCCACAAGCCTGTCTCAGCCCCAGGCTCTGCAACCTCACCTTCACAGCCACACCGAGGGCCCATGCTGTCCCCTCGTGTCCTTAGGGTCTCTCCTTGACTGGCCAATCTTCCTTATTCCAAGTCTCTGCCCTGATCACCTCCTCCAGGAAGCTCTCTGACATTATGTCTGAATTTGGGGCCCACTGGAGTTTTCCAATAACATGCTCAGTGTTTCACTTCTCTCCTTTGCTGCATCCTCTCTCTCTCTCTCTCTCTCTCTCTCTCTCTCTCTCTCTCTCTCTCTCTCTCTCTCTCTCTCTCTCTCTCCATCCTTTAGGCAGGGGCTCTTCCAGGCACTAAAAATGTCCAGGTCTGCCAGCCGGTGGTGGCGCACGCCTTTAATCCCAGCACTTGGGAGGCACAGGCAGGCGGATCTCTGTGAGTTCGAGGCCAACCTGGTCTACAGCATGAGTTATAGGACAAACAGGACTACACAGAGAAACCCTGTCTCAAAAACAAAAAAACAAAAAAAAAAAGGAAAAGGGAAAAGAAAGAAAGTCGCGTCCGCATCATTGGGTCACTGTACAGCTTAGGATTCAGACCAGGGCAGCTTTCCAAGTGGAAGAGGAACTCATGAACTCTCGTGCAGGGCACCAGGCATACACCAACAGGATGTGTGGTCACTGCCAAGAACCCTCAGCCTCAGTGGCAGGAAGAGACAAGAAAGTAAGTAGGGGTCTGGGGCTGCAGTTCAGTTCAAGAACTTAACCTGGCATGCATGAAGGCCTGGGTTCAAACCCCAGCACATTAAACTGGACATAATCCCAGGACTCAGGAAATAGAGACCGGAGGATCCGAAGGTGTGAACCATCCTAGGCCACGGGAGATGTTATCTTAGAAAGAGAGTTTGGGCACTGGAGATTTGGCTCAGAGGTTAAGAGCACTGACTGCTCTCCCAGGGGTCCTGAGTTCAATTCTCAGCAACCACATGGTGGCCCAAAACCATCTACAATTCAATCTGGTGCCCTCTTCTGGCATGTAGACAGAACACTATATATATAATAAATAAATAAGTCTTTAAAAAAAAGAGTTTGTGAGGAGAGAGAGAGAGAGAGAGAGAGAGAGAGAGAGAACTTACCAACAGTGAGGAGGTGAGGAGGGCAGGTAATGGGTCCCCTCACAAAGGCCTACATGTCTTCTGTAGCCCCTTATTTAGCCTGCCCTTCTCAGACACCAGTGCCACTTTCTCTAGCATGAGCTAGGCCTCCCCTTTTGAGCAACCTCACTAACCCACACACCCTGAGTAGAGGCTTCCTTCCTTCTCGTCTACACTGCAGCTTTGATTCCAGCAGCCACAGTCAAGTTTTCAGAGCCATGCAAGGCACCACATGAGAAGAGGGAATTCCCATGGCCCCTCAAGTCAAATAGGCACATGAGTGGGTCAGGCTCTTCAGTGTCCAGCGGACTGTCTACTAGTCATCCAAACTACTCAGTGTGATGGAGTAGAGTGGGTGGATGGATGAGCAAATGAATAAGTGGATACACTCGTGGGTGTGTGGGTGTGTAGGTGAGTAAGTGGAGGGGAGGTAAATAGATAGATGGAAAGATGCATGGATGGATGGATGGGAGGATGGATGCATGGATGGATGGATGGGTGGATGGATGGATGGATGGATGGATGGATGGATGGATGGATGGATGGATGGGAGGATGGATGGATGCATGGATGGATGGATGGGAGGATGGATGGATGGATGGATGGGAGGATAGATGCATGGATGGATGGATGGGAGGATGGATGCATGGATGGATGGGAGGATGGATGCATGGATGGATGGATGGATTGATGGGAGGATGGATGGATGGATGGATGGATGGATGGATGGATGCATGGATGGGAGGATGGATGGATGGGAGGATGGATGGATTGGATGGATTGGATGGATGGGAGGATGGATGGATGGATGGGAGGATGGATGGATGGATGGATGGATGGATGGATGGATGGATGGGTGGGAGGATGGATGTATGGATGCATGGATGGGATGGTGGACGGGTGGGAGGATGGATGACTTTTGGGTGGTAAATGGGTAGGAGGATTGCATAGAGGTAGATGGGTGGGTGGGTACATGAATGGGCGAGTGGAAATATGGCTATGACGGGTGGATGAAAGATGAATGGCTGGAGAGATGGATGAATAGGTTGATGTGAGTGGGCAGGATGGATGACCAGATAGATAGCGGATGGATGGGTGATGGGCAGGTGGATGGGTGGGTAAGCAGGTGATGGGTCCGTGGGTGTGTGATAGGTGGTAAATGAAAGGATATATTGATAATCGGGTATATGAAATGATAGATGGGTGAGTAGGCAGGTAATGGACAGGTGCATGAATGGATGGTGGGCAAGTGATGTATGGGTAAATGGGAGAGTGGGTTGGCACGTGGTGGGTAGATGGATAGAGGAATAGATGCATGGATGGGTGGAAGGATGAATGGGAGGACTGAAGGGTGTGTGAATGGGCAGGCAGGCAATAGATGTACAGGTGGGTAGGGGATGTATGTATGGATAGTGGGCAGGTGTCTTTTTTTTTAAAGATTTATTTATTTATCATGTATGCAGTATTGGACAGATGGTTGTGAGCCACCATGTGGTTGCTGGGAATTGAACTCAAGACCTCTGGAAGAACAGCCAGTGTTCTTAACCGCTGAGCCATCTCTCCAGCCTGTGGGCAGGTGTCTTAATCATTATTTTTCTAGTATGGTGGCAAAACACCAAGACCAAGGCAACTTCTAAAAGGAAGTGTTTAATTGGGCTTATGGTTTCAGAAGGTTAGAGTCCACAATAGCGGGGCAAGGTGTGGTGGCAGGGACAGCTTGATCCATAAGTAGAAGGCAGAGAGAGTTACGTGGAAGTGGCAAGGGTTTTTGAAGCCTCACAGCCTCCTCCAAAAGCCACACCTCCTAGTCCTTCTCAAACAGTCCTACCAACCGGAGACTGAGTATTCAATCACATGAGCCATGGGAGTCATTTTCATTCAAACTACCGCAGCGGCGATTGATGGATGGGTGGGTGAGGACTGAATACAAGCCTCAGTCAACCAGCAATCAGGTTTCCTAATGCCAAATATCTGTCACAGGCCAGAAACAACCATCTATGAAGCCACCTTTCCCTGCTAAAACCTAGAGAGAGAGTAATGGGAGGTAAATCGGCATGAGCCCGTGGCTCCCTTCTCTCCCAGGTTACAAAGTGCCGGGGCCTCCCCAGGGCTCAGATCTGTAGTTCCTGGTTAAATGCTGGAGTTTAATGGGCATGCTGGGGAAATGCTCTTTGGCGAGAGGTAAATGTCTCCCCTACGCCCGCAGCAGTCATTACTTCTGTAGAACAATCTCTCACGAACGTGCTCCGGGCTGGCAGGTAGGGAGCAGCTCTGGACAGGGAAGCCAGCCTGGGAAGCTGGAGGAGGCTGAGGGCAGTTCCTGCAGGAATCTGAGGAAGACGAGAGGGTTGGTCAGTTAGGATGGCAGAGACCTCACAGTGTGAGAGCACTGAAGACAGGAAGGTTACAGAGTTCAAGGCCAGCCCAGGCTACCCGGTGAGCCCTGTTTCAAAAGCTACAGCAGGAATAAAATAAAGGGCCTAGGTCAGCTTGGAGTTTCTGAGTCTTCCACATTACTTATGAGCTGTTCCTGGTTTTGTTTATAGTTGGCTGGGTTTTTATTATATTTTTTTAAAGACCTGTGTGCTTGTGTGTGTGTGCGCGCGCGTGTGTGTGTGCATGTGTGTGTTCCCACACATGCCATGGAACGCAATCAGCTCCCTCCCTACGTGGCGCTATGGATCAAATTCCAGTCGTCAGACTTGGCAGCAAACACTTTCACTTACTGAGCCATCTCACCAGCCCAGTTGTTTGGTTTTTGAGAAAGTCTCTCTTTGCAACCCTGGCTGGTTTCGAACTTGCTATGTAGATGAAGCTGACCTCAAACTTGGAGCAGTCTCCTGCCTTAGACTCTCTCATGATGGAATTACATGTGCCACCAAGCCCATCATTCTTGACATTTGGAGTCATACCATTGTGCATTTGGAGACCTGTCTTGCACCCTTTTATTTATTTTAAACAGCATGCATACACACACACACACACATACACACACACACACACACACACACACACACACACACACACGCTATGGCACACATGAAGAACAGAAGACAACTTTCAGGAACATCTCTTGCCTTCCACCGTGTGAGTCTGGGGACGAAGCTCGGATGTCAGCTTGGCTGCAGGTGCCTTTACCATTCACCAGCCCCCCCCCCCCACCTTCTGAGCACTGCTCCTGAGTCTCTACCCACAGGAAACTTCCTCCCAAGCTGCATTAATCAGAATGTCTTCCAGGAGTCTGGGGAGACAGGCACAAAATTACCCACCACTCAGCTCCTGATTCGAGCTCGAGGACTGTCCTGACTCGATAAAGGGTAGCTGAAGGACGCGGCTCTCAGGGGCTCACTGGCCTAGATGGAGCCAGCAGTTCCAAAAGTCATCATGACCCAGCCCAGCACAGGTCAGATGTCAGCGGTTTAGCATCAAGGGAACCCGAGACGCTGCAGGTGGAGGCGATTGCTCATCTGTGCAGCAAACCTGAGAGCTGTCCCCCTGCTCCAGTGCGATAAGAGGGAGCGCCTCCCCGCCACTGAGATCGGCTTTCAATTACAATGATTAGCGCTGTTTACTTAGACTCTGAAGATGTATAGGATCTACGCTAGCCGAAGTTTAAAGAAATAAAAGGCGGGGGAGGGGAAACAATCCAGCCCAAATTGAAAGAGTCCCCCTGTAATTACAAGATCGGAGCATATTCACCGAGGGGATCAATAACGGGAAATCTAAGTGCCGCTGCTTGCTGAGGTTACAGTCTGGAATCACTCCATCTTGGATTTTAATTTTCTTTCTCCTTGGCTCATCACCACAAGATCCCAGCCTGAGAGGGGTGGGCAGTGGGGCTGGGCTCCAGCAGGGATGTCCACACACGGGCCTGACCTTCTACGGGAAATAGTTCTTGTTACGTAATGGGTTACCATTCACTTAGCAACTTAAAATGACCCGCATTCATCAGCTCAGAGTTTCTCCCAGATCTGAGGGCTGTGGAGAGTTGAGCAGTGTCTCTGTTCCAGGTTCCCCCCACCCACGGATGTCATCGGGGCTGGATCTAGTCTCAGGCTCAAGGAAGCTCCTGCAGGTTGGCAGGTTCATCCCTTTACAGCCATGGAGCTGAAGGCAGGTCCATTACCCAATCCTGACTTGAAAGGCCTGCCCTGATTGGACCCGGCCCACCCAGGATCGCATCCCTTCTGAATCACTTGATGTTCACTGCTTAGGGTTCTAAATGACACTTGCACAAAAACCTTTCTCTTTGCTGTATTTTATTTACTAGACTCGGGGAACATGTTTTCTATTGCTGGCCTCAAACTCACAGAGATTGGCCTGCCTCTGCCTCCCGAGTGCTGGGATTAAAGGCGTGCGCCACCAACGCCCGGCAAATCACCTCTTCTTAATGTCACCACTCTGGGGTGTGTGTGTGTGCGCGTGCGTGCGTGCGTGCGTGCGTGCGTGCGTGCGTGCGTGCGTGTGTGTGTGTGTGTGTGTGTGTGTGTGTGTGTGTGTGTGTTAGACAGAAAGAGGTTGCTGGGGATCAGGCACAAGGCCCGTGCATAGCAGACAGGCTTTCCTACCTCTGAGCTACAGTCCTTGTGTGTGCATTTATTAGATTGATTTATTTTTATGTTATGTGTGAGTGGTTGTCTATTATCTATGATTGTGCGCCACATGGGAGCAATACCCAGAGGCCAAAAGAGGGCACCAGATTCCCCTGGAGCTGGAGCTACAGAGGGCTGTGAGCTGCCAAGTGGATGCAGGAAACAACTCGGGTCCTCTGTAAGAGCAGCCGGTGCTCTTAACTGCTGAGCCATCTCTCCAGCCCCTTTTGTTGTTTTTGAAAACAGGGTGTTATATAGCCCAGGCTGGACTTGACATCCTGATCCTCCTGCCTCAGCCTCCCACGTGCTGGGATTATGGGTGTGTAACGCCACACCTGCTTACTTAGCAGTGCAATCTCAAAATGAGTTTTGGAGGGGACATTCAAACACAGTCGTGCCCCATCCGCACTCAGAGGAGGACAGGATGCCCAGGGGCAGATACTGCGATCCACAACTTCCCTCAGAGCCCTTCCCAGATTCCAGAGCTGAGCCACCCTTCCTAAACCACCCTCACACCCACAGGCTCCTAGCCCCAGCCAGGTGAGCAATCCCACACACGGCCAGCCTTCTCTGAACCTTCCAACATGGGAGAAACCAAGTAAACCACTGAGGCCAGGATGGGGCATCTTGGCTCCTGTCCAGAGCTCTTTCCTGCAATGTAGGCTGTTTCCTGACACCTTCACTATGTCCCAAGCCTCAGTCTGGGTCCTGGGTTCCCTCACCCAGAGTCCTCCCTAGGCACCTTGCTTCTTCCCAAGACACTGGGCACAAGGACATAAATGAGCCCTCGGCCCACTGTCCTCACCAGACACACACTGCTCTTTTCATGGTGTTGCCTGGCTTCTGAGTCTAAACATGGCTGCTGCAGCACCAGCCATTACCTCCACGGCCCTCAGCCAACAGGGAAGAGGAGAGAAAGGAAAAAGCATGCCCCTTCCCTGTACTCTGCTTCTCCTCACACCCCATTGGCCGTGAGTGACTCACACAGCCATTGAAAACGCACAAAGAATGCTGGGTAATGTAGCTTCACTCTGGTGACGTTCTACAATGGAAAGATGACCCCATGAACCCAGAAATTTCTGGAAACCTCTGTTCTGATGTCCCTCTCTATCTTATGTTTGTGGCCTCTTCAGGGACGGAAGGTGTCTTGGGTCGTTTTCCTATTGCTGTGCTAAATGACAAAGCAGCTTAACAGGGAAGGGTGGTGGTTTATCCCAGTCCACATTTTAGGGCACAGTCCCCCAGAGCAGGGCAGCCACAGCAGCTTCAGGAAGCTGGTCACATGCACAGTCAGGCAGCAGAGAGCACCAGGGGAGCAGGAGCACACACATTTAACCCCAGCCCCCCAGCCTCAGGCAGATCTCTGAGTTCAAGGCCAGCCTGGTCTATATAACCCCAGCCTCAGGCAGATCTCTGAGTTCAAGGCCAGCCTGGTCTATATAATAAGTTCCAGAACAGCCAGAACTACATAGAGAGACCCTGTCTCAAATATGGGGGGGGGGGAGCAACGAATGTACACTTGTCCTCAGATCACCATGTCTGATTTTTTAATTTTTTCATACATGAGCACTATAAATACACCATCTCCACCCCTTCAATTTCTCCCATGTCCCCCACCTCCACTAGAATTTAGGATCTCTTCTTCCATGATTATTATTGTTACACACACACACACAGAACCTATCGAGTCCAATTTGTGTCCATATGTATGTGTATGTGTTTAGAGCTGGCCACCTGGGATTAGATAGCCTATCAGGACACTTGTCCCTGAGAAAACTGATTCTCCCTCTCTTGGCAGTCACTGATTGCCTTCGCTCTTTATCTAGAGGTGACCTTGTGACATTTGCCTCATTCATGTTGGCATGCCATCTAGTGTGGGCTCTATTTTATACAGTCCAGTCCAGAATTCCTGCCCAGACAATGAGACGTTTGCTCACATCAGCCGTAATCTAGATAATTCCTCGCACGCATCCTCAGAGGCTAACATTAATCTAGAAAGTCTCTCACAGGTATGCCTGGAGGCTTGCCTTCTACAGGATTCTAGATTCTGTCAAGTAAATAATGCCAGCCATCACGGGGTATTTCTTTCAGATCTAGATTTGGATTGCTCTTTCAATACTTTGGACATCATTCTTTAGCCTTTGATTGTTTCTTCAAACCCAGTATTTGAGGCTAAAGAGGTAGCTTCGTTGGCAAAATGTCTGCAGAGTATAGCCAAAGCTCTGGGTTTGATTCCGAGCATTGTATAAACTAGTGGCACATGCCCATAATCCCAGCTCTTGGAAGGTGGAGGGAAGAGTATCAGGAGTTCAAGGTCAACCTCAGCTACATCAAGACCAACCTGAAATAAATGAGACCCCATCTCAAAAATAAAAAGTATTGCCGGGCGTTGGTGGCGCACGCCTTTAATCCCAGCACTCGGGAGGCAGAGGCAGGCGGATCTCTGTGAGTTCGACAACAGCCTGGTCTACAGAGTGAGTTCCAGGACAGCCTCCAAAGCCACAGAGAAACCCTGTCTCGAAAAACCAAAAAAAATAAAATAAAATAAAATAAAAAATAAAAAGTATTTATGTATTCTCTCATTACTCATGTACTTATTCACTACTTCATTCATTCATTCACCTCTTGGAAATTTTCTTCAGCATTCAATGTTCGTCAAGAATGACACAGATGCTTCAAGCACGTCTTTCCCAAACCAGCAGGAAGGTCACAAGGAAAAGAACCATTTAACAAGCTGG